TGAAAATGAGAAATGTTTCCTTGAACTAGCTGAATTAAAAGGTTTATATATATATATATATATATATATAAACCTTTTCATTTATGTTTAATTATATTACATAAACCTTTTAATATATATTTTTATTTCAAATGACAAAATGTGTTTCTTTGGCTTTAGTTTTTTAAAAATATAATTTATTAAATGAATATACAGCAAACAATCATTAATCAGTAATATTTAATATTTAAAACTTTAATACAACTTCTAAAACTATTTTTATAGACATAATGGGGTCATTTTACAGCTTTTTAAAATTTTTAAACATCATTTAATAAATTAACATACAGGTGCATTTTTATATGAACTGTGCAGGCTGAGAATTAAAAGCATCTAATTTTATCATTAGTTTTAGTTACAGTGTGTTTTGTAAACACTTGATATTGAGTGTGTATTTCATCCCAAATCTTTTTGGTGTGGTTTGCATTGTTTCAGGCCTACTTGATCTACTCCAGCAGTGTGGCCGCAGGAGCTCAAAGTGGGATTGAAGAGTGCAAATATCAGTTTGCGTGGGACCGCTGGAACTGCCCGGAGAGGGCTCTTCAGCTCTCCACCCACAGTGGACTCAGAAGCGGTGAGAACTATGACCTCTGCTGATGCCTGTTTTATATATATATATCATGCTTTCAGGTCTCTAAAAATACACATATTTTAATAGAATAAAAGTAGAAGAGCGTGTGTTATGTATACTGTGTGTTTAGTGACTCAAAGCCCATCTGTATCAATCACAGACACAGCACTTAAAACAAACACAACAATCCTGTTTAAACCACAGAGAACCATCTCCCAATGTTGATGTGTCTGAACACTGCATTCTTGAGACAATTAAACCTGGTCTGTTAATAGGCAAATAGAAAAGCCACCAAGGGGATATTACGAACCAGAGTGAGTGAGTGAAATGGATGCCCTCTCAAGTCAAAGGGTGTGGGTCAAAGGTTTGCCTCAGACTCCTTTCATTAGGCATTCCTTAAGTGCCAAAGAGGGGGCCTGTCGCAGTCCAGTGCCGACCCCAGACCAATGTATGAGAGCAGACCAGCAGCGCTACTCCATGTTTGATGCAGGGGTAATAAGAGTCAAAAGTCATCATTACTGAGATGGATGCTAAAGATTTGAGTAAATCATCTAATGAGGAAGAAAATCAATGAGTGTTGAGTGCTTGTATTTTCATTAGCCTAGGACATTATATTTCATAGACAAGATAAATACAATTCCTTTCCACAGCATATTCATTTCAGTGTTATTTCTAATCACAGCAAACAGAGAGACAGCGTTTTTCCATGCCATCAGCTCTGCTGGAGTCATGTATACCCTCACCAGGAATTGCAGCCTCGGTGACTTTGACAACTGCGGATGTGATGACACCAGGAACGGCCAAAGAGGTGATAAACTAAATCTCAACATAGATGGAAAATCAGTCAACATCAAAGGGGTATTTTGTGTTACGCATTTCAACATACTGTAATTTTAATGTGGAAAAAGTCACTTGCTAACCTTTTCTGTGTAGTTATATTCAATTTAACAACTTTTGTTCCCATGACTTTCTAACTGTAACCCCAAAATGACCCCAAGAATGATGAGAACAACATTACAGCTAAAATAAAACATGGGTTTTAACAGAATAATTAATTAAATACATTTATATATAAACTACCATTCAAAAGTTTGGTGTCAGGAAGATTCCTTTTTGTTCACCAAGGCTGCATTTATTTAATAATAAAAAACGGCAATAACAGTAATATTGTGAAATATTATTACAATTCAAAATAGCTTTTGCATTCTTGCTGAACAAAAATATTAATTTATTTAAAAAAAAGAAAAACATTTCTCTCACTAAACTTTTGAACGGCAGTGTATAAGTATAATAACTTTTATATAAGCCTCAGATTTTTGCTTTTAAATTCTCCAATATTTGGCTCTATTTTAAGTGTGTTCTCATAATCTTGGTTTTGGCTTTTTGTAAGGAAAAGGAAAAGTGCAAATTATTTTTTGTGGCAATCAGTATTGTTCCATAAGTGCTGTTAAAATTGAACAAAAGTAGTTCTATAAAAGTATATACCACATTTAAGTATATATATATATTTATTTAGCCTAGCAAAAAACATCATTCTGTTGTCATCTCAGGTGGTCAGGGATGGCTATGGGGAGGCTGCAGCGATAATAATGGATTCGGAGAGGCCATCTCCAAGCAGTTTGTGGATGCACTGGAAACCGGACAGGACTCACGAGCTGCCATGAACCTGCACAACAACGAAGTAGGACGCAAGGTATATGAAGTCATTTGGGCTGGTCAGGGCCTAAAATTGAGGCATGTCCGTTGGCCAACAACAGCTCACGGAGTGGCTTTTGAATCATTTTTCAGTGCTTCTAATGATAGCTTACCACCCAAGAGTTTCATTCACGGCCCTATAAGCAAGGTGCCACTCGTTCTCCCAATAGAGTGTGCGCTGTACCAGAAGGGCCTATTTACAGCCTGTGAATGTCCTTTATGACGAGGCCTTAACTTGAGATTCTTGGGATCAGTGGTGCAAGCTTAATTAGACGACCTAGGGGTCCGGCACATTGCAAAGGTTCTGTATTCTGTTGCTTCCCAAATAAGTGTTTAGTTTTATTCTTGCAATAAGGATCTTACATTTATGTCGGTCTTTGTTGTACTTGAGAGAGCCACAGGGATCACAGCCATGTGGCTCAAGTGCTCTTTGTTTACCCTGTCTGTGCCCCGTCTGCAGGTTTTGTCAATTCATTGGCACCTGGAGCATCATTGTAACTGAAAAAATGTGAAAGAATTCTTTTTCACTTCCTCCTCAATGGAGTTGCCACTGGGTCTGCCTATGACAGAAAACATGTTGACAATGGCTATGCAAAATAAATACACCCCTTTCCTGCGCTGAACAATCTAGCTCGATGTGAAACCGTGATTCTTAATCTTACGCGAGGGAATGAGAAAAGAGGCGTTCCTTTTTAAAAGACAGCTGTTTGTTTCAGCCGAAGTCAGGAATTATTGTACGACCACCAAGAAAAGAGAAAACCCAGACTTGAACCTTGAACCTCTTCCTCTTAACTCACAGTTTCCTTCTGTTTGTTTAAGTGGATGTATAGGGTGCCTACTAAAGAGCGTATTGTATATTTCGACTGATGAGTTCAGTCCTAATTAGAATGTTTTGAAACATGAACATTTGCCTCTAGAATGCATGAATGAGTGTGTTCTTTAATGTGAGATCCTCTCTTCAACCAGGCAGTGAAAGGAACCATGCAGAGGACGTGCAAGTGCCATGGAGTGTCTGGCAGCTGCACCACTCAGACCTGCTGGCTGCAGTTGCCAGAGTTTCGAGAGGTGGGCAACTACCTAAAGGAGAAATATCACAGGGCCGTGAAGGTGGACCTGTTGCGAGGAGCGGGCAACAGTGCAGCCAGCCGCGGCGCGATCGCGGAGACCTTCAGCTCGATCTCACGCAAAGAGCTGGTGCACTTGGAGGATTCCCCTGACTACTGCTTGGAGAACCGCACTCTGGGCTTGCCAGGAACAGAGGGCCGCGAGTGCTTGAGGAAGGGCAAGAATCTGAGCAAATGGGAGAAGCGTAGCTGCAAGCGGCTGTGTGGAGAGTGCGGTCTGGCTGTGGAGGAACGCAGGGCCGAAACCGTGTCCAGCTGCAACTGCAAATTCCACTGGTGTTGTGCTGTAAAATGCGAGCAGTGCCGCAAAATTGTCACAAAGTACTACTGTGTGAAGAGAACCAAACAGGTCAAGACTGATAGTGCCAGCCGTAGGAGAAGCTATCGGTTGAAGAAGAAGCACTAGAGATGCCATGAAGTGTTTGTTACGGTGGTCCAGAAGTTAAGCAGATGTTTTTGTCTCAGAATACATACTGAGCTTGAGAATGAAGTGAGCTCAAAGTTCCATCTGAATGCTTTAATGAACACCTACACTCTTAAAAATAAAGGTTCTTCATTGACATCTATTGTTCCATGAAGAACCTTTAAGATCGAAGTTTCTTTCGATTTTTAAAATGTTCTTCATATTATAAAAAACAATGGTTCTTTTAATAATTGATCACTGAAAGGTTCTTTGGGGAACCAAAATGGTTCTTCTATGGCATTGCTGCAAAAACCCCCTTTTGGAACCTTTATTTTTAAGAGTGTAGATCTCCAGGTGGAGACTAGATCTTCAGAGCTGTTACTTTAAATGCATATTTGATCTGTATTATTTCACAATTACTCCTGTATACATTTGTAAGATAGCACTGAACACCACATCTAACCAATATATAGCACAATAGACTCTAAATAACCTTTTCATTCACCAACAGGGAAGTACTTTGATGGATAATTTATTGGAATTATCGTTTTTAAAGGAGTTTTGAATTCACGATCGGGCCACTTCTCCAGCTGCCATAAGAATAATTTCTTGCCTAATTTTTTCTTGTCTGCTTCTATTGGTTATAGAACTCTGACAAAAGTTTTACCCTGATACTGTATATGAACTTAAAATAAGAGGAAGCACTTTGTATATTGTTAATTTATTGCACAGATACTATAGTGCTGTTTTTCCATGATAGTTTCTTTCTATGTGTTTTTTTTTTCAATTACGTAATTCAAGATAAATAATAGCATCTTCTTTTTAAGTTTTCATTCATTTAGATTAGCTGAATGCATCTGAATTACCTGAGCCACTTGTTGTTTTGTGTAGTAAAACATCCTCTGCTAATTTCTTGTGCTCTGAAAAATAAATGTGCTTCACAAGTGTTAAAAAAAATGAAAGACCATATCATAAATCCCACACATTGTAAAATCAAATTATTTACCGTAGACTGCTGGTCAGACCTAATGATTTATTTTTCTTTGGTATATATAGCTTTCTGTATTCTTCAGCTTGATGTCTCATAACCCTGGGGCAGAGAGACAACAAGAGAGAGAGCATTTAATTATAGTCTTCCTTCCTTCACGCCTCTCTCAATTTCTTCTTCACAAATGCCTCCTTTTCTGTCTTAGTAATCCTCAAAGCACTCCCAATGCTTTGCGCTTGGATGTTTCTTTACTGTTTAAGACTAGTTTAATTAACTTTGTTGAGACAGAGGGAAAACATGAACCAAGTCGCCCCACAAATCATCTAGCATCTAATTTTGTATGCTAATCTCCTTTTTCATGCCGCCATCTCGGGAGAAAAAAAAAATTGTTGGGAAAACTTCATGTAGCCTGTGTTGGGCTTCCTGTGGATGTTTTATTCCAGGCCCACCTATTTGGCTCTTTTCAGTCTTCTAGGGCCTTCCTTTGCTCGATTTAACAATGAATGGCGAGCTAATCAGCTCCCTCGGAAATGCACTGCTGCTGAAGACGCTAATCCCCTTCTCTTCCTCCTTCAATGGGCTGTCGCCTTCAAAAGGACTTTGGGAAAAGGCTTTGCATGGATTCACACTGTTTGCTGAATAGAAGTTAGTTCAAGTATTGTACCCAAACAAGTAGGGTTTATAAACAAATACTTGCCAGCTACCGTCCCATCAGCGAAAGTGCCAGCCCTACAGTAAAACACTGTGGCCCTTTAAAAGTTGACTAAAAAAACCTAATTAAAACTTTATTTATTGGTGATAGCTTGTTCTGCTGTGCTTCTGTGGTTTCAATGACACACCTCATTTGACATCTTACTTATGAAATCAAGATCAAAATAAAAACTCCCCTTGACACTTGCTAATTATGTGGAGATGAAGTTAATTCCTCCTATTTTTTTCCCAAAACAACCGCAATACACAACCTTTAGATTTCTAGGTTAGCCACTGAAGGCAACTGACTGTTACAGATATATTAAATTGAAATGTGTATTTTGATATTCACATTCAAATTTCACTTTTTTCTTTACATGAATTCAGTCAGCATAAAATAACTAAATAAAAAAATTTAAAAAAAAACACTGGAAAATGTCCTATATACAATGCAAGTATTATACAGAAAGCATAGAGATGAAACTGCATGCATATCATGAAATCAGCTGTTTATCTTGCCTACTTATATTAAATACAAAACAGGAGTTAATAAATCTCAAAAATACCCAAACTAAGTGTTCAGTCGGCCCCAAACACATGGTTGAAAAATCAAACCCCGGTTGATTCAACCTTAAGCCCTACTGCTAAACTTCCGGGTTTTTTTATGGGTTCACATGAAAGCAGGGTCACGACTGGAAGGCTGGCCTTGCCATGGATGATTTGCAGTGGGGCATGAGTTTAAGGTGGCTGAGAGTGAGGTGACACACTGGAAGAGAACAAGATTAGACTTTGTCATGTTTGGCATGTCTCATGTCAGCTATGCTGTCTGATGTATGGGAATTAATAGCAGAGAACATTATTTTATATCGAAATGTGTGTGTTCTTAAGCTTTTCAAAATTATATATATATATATTTAATTGGAATACAATATGTTATGCTTTATTGTTTTCTTTGCTTAATTTATAGCTTATACAATGTTGCACATTTTTTTGTGGAGATATGTTTAGCAGAGTGACTGATGGCCATATGCTCTCACAGCACACTTAAATGATGAAACAATCCACAGAAATTGGGAAAATTACATTTAATGGCTCTGAGAAACCTTGACTAATGGGATTTATGACTTAAGTCATCTGGGGGAAGAACACCAAGAGGTGGCTAAGGTCAGCATGGGTGTTAGTGTAGCGGCGGGTGGGAAAAGACTATTTGTCTTCTCCCTTTGACATTCCCGTTTTGTACACCAGTTGGTTCACATGACTTTCAGATTAAAATATACAGTCCAAAACATAGCTAAAATATTTAAAACATTATGCAGTACATCATTCTTCATGGCTAGTCATTTGATACCTACTCCTAAAATTGACAGCATTTTTTTTTTTTACATTAACAGCTGCTTTTTGAGAAATATTTGAGTTTGGCACAATATAGTGGAGATCAAAATTAGGGAAAACCTGCAATTTCCTAAATTTCAAGGTCACTGCTTAGTCCTATTTGAAGTTAACAGGAGTAGAAGGGCAGTTTTTTAAGCATATTTCATAAATTAATTGTATTCTGGAGCACAGTATAAAATCTGAATGAGATATTTGAAAAAGAACTCTGATTAAAATTAGAGAACACTTACAGATACCTCCAAGTTATTGGTGTTAATCTGGCACCTGGTGATAATTTCCTTAATTATATGACAAGCCCTATTTAACTAGCAGCATTCCTCTAATTTTCACTGAGATTGCAAGATGGCGGGCCGCTTTAAGGTGATTGAAACCCTGCGACAGGAAGTTGTCCAGATGAAGGCACTTGCAGCCATTGCAAGAAAAGATTTCTTGAATATTGCAGCTTTACAATGACATTAATTCATTCAAGTCCCCCCAAAAGGCTGGTCATCCATCCATGTAAGACAAATGCAGGAGAAGACAGGATAATGCGGAGACTCTCAATGGGGAATCGGTTCAACACCACAGCTGGAATTGCTTACCTGTTCAGTCTTGAACAGGGTATAGGATATGTCTCGGCATGTTTAATAGAAGTTGGATCGGAAGCGCATTCTGCAGTGACCAAACTTCTCATCAGCAGAAAGAATCAAAAGCCTAATCTTACCTTTGCTGAGGAGCATGTTGTGTGGACAGAGGAGAACATGGTCCAAAGTTCACTCTAATGATGAGAGCAAGTTTAATTTATTTGGGTCCGTTGGGAAACATTTTGTTTGGCGCCAAACTGGGAAAAGACTGAAGCCCAAGTAAAGAAGTCAGTAAAAGGTGCAGGAGGAAGTGTCATGATTTGAGGGATGTTTTGTGCTGCAGGAGTTGGGTCTCTTATGGGTTACATGGAAGGGTGAATGCAAATATTTATCAGAACCTCCTTTAACAACATGCGGTACCTTCCCTGCAAGCATCTCCCAATCAGCCTGTGATTTTCATGCAAGACAATACTCCTGTCACACTGCAGAATGGGTAAAGCAGTTCCTTGAAGCTGAGAACGCTGAAATAATGAAATGGCCCAGAGTCCTGATCTAAACCCAACTGAAAATCTCTGGAAAATCCTTGGCGACAAAGTTATGGCTAAGAAACCCACTAAAGTTACCAAACTGTGGAAGAAGAGTGGACCAAGATCACACCAGAGCAGTATGAGAAACTAGTGACGTCCTGTGGCAGCAGATGTGCAAAAGTCACTGAAAGCAGGGGCCTTTAAAATTACTACTAATTTCTGACAGCCATAACCCTCCAAAATTTTAGTTGTATTCTTCTTTCGTGCAACAGTGGTTACTGTTCTCTAATTTTGATCAGTGTTTTCCACAAAATAAAGGTTTTTGTTGAAATGCCTTGGTTCTTTTTGTCAAACATGTTAGAATAACAGTGATATACCTACAGCTAATATTCCTTCAACTTTTGAGTATGAAGATTAACAATATTTATAGATTGTTCTCTAATTTTTATCTCCACTGTAGTTCCATCTGCTGGTGAACTGATTATTGCCACTGACAAGATTACTAGTTCATCACTGTGAGTGATATCAAGCTTGAGCTGCACGGTAGTCCTAAAACCCAGAAGAGAATTAGCATTTTAGAGCCAGAGGCATATATATATATATATATTCTTTTTACTTTATAAAGTAATTTATAAAGAGCAAAATAGGATCTATGGTTAACATTAATTATACTTAAAAAACTATTACACCTCAAAAGGAAAATACATCCGTCGTGTCTTATATTCAGACTAGGCAAAACAAAAATTAAGCATGATGTTATACACAGCTTGATTGAGTTTTGGCGCCCTCCGGAGGTTACCTGTATATTTTACAAGAAAAGCGTCTGTGAAGGCTCAAGGGAAAAGTGAAAGAAAAAATAGATTTAAGTTAACACAGTTTGAAAAGGTTACTTTGTGTCACTTTAACACAGCATACAAACGACCCTTCTGTCACAAGAAGAAGCAGTGACAGGTGATTTGGTTACAGATACTCTTAAAGGCACAGTTCATCTAATTATGAAAATTATGTCATCATTGATGACATGCAAAACACTAATACATTTTCCAAAATATTTGTGTTCAACGGAAAATATATAACGAATCATGGATTATGTGTTTTTCAAAATAATTTTTGTAAAGCATCCAGTCTTCATCACATTACCTGGATTCAAAGTTTTGGGGTTTATTTACAATAGTGCTAGCATATTTGGGCCTGCTGGTGTTTCTGAAGGTTCCCAATAATCCAGGTGATAATATGTTCTAGAGTAGTATTTTCACTTAGATGTATTTCTATGTAGCTTAATAAGAAAGCGTTTCTCTTCATTGCATAGTGAGATAATAAAAACACATTCGGGTAACTAGAATGAATCTACTTGAATATTCTTAGTCCTTTATGGCCGACCACGAATAGCAGTCAGTTGTCCAATATCCCCATCTACTGTTCAATCCGCACTCTGGCTTTTTCTGGGGACTATGGTATTTTCTGATTTTCTGAAGTGTTTTAATATTATAATTTGCATATGAAATGAAACAAGAATTTCGAACCTGTTCAGATTTCTGTTTTGGAAATGTATGAAAATTAGTGTAGGCTTACATTTAATTAGATGGTGCTCATTTGCATATTCGAACACATTTCAGAAAACTTGTAATACAAAACTATTGTCTTAATGTACTGTGATAAATCAAATGAGGAAGTATTATTAGTTGTTTTTTTACCCAATCACCTGTGTTGTCTTACCTACTTGATGACCGTTGTTCATAGTTTTCTGCATAACTGTCAGCTGTGCTCGTGTCTTCCGTTTCACGTCCGATTCCTGATTAACCTATTGGCTTTATTTTTCGAAATATTTTGAAGATTGACATATTTGTAATAGTTTCCTTGTTGCTCACCCACTAATTCATTCATAAACACCAGCGTCCAAAGGTTTAAATACTTTTATTTTGAAAAAAAAAAAAAAACCCACTTCCGGTGGGTGTTAAGAAAGCGTCGCCAGTGTGTCTGTTTTCATGCTGCTAGTATGACTGCGCGGGTCGCTCCACTCGGCTGTTCGCGTTTCTGCGGCGTGTGTGAAAGGACGGGAGCGGTTCTCGCGCTCGCTGCTCCTTTCTCTGCTTAACAGCTGTGCCATAACGTTACACCCTCGTGCAACTTTATTGTGAAGTAACAGCAGTCCACTGGCGCACTTAGAGGACATGGCAGCCGCGACCGTGGCTGAGGCGGACCCAGCAGAGACCGATGGAGCTGCCGCCGCCTCCGCCGCCGCCTTTACGGATCTACGCGACACAGGCTGGAATGAATCGCAGCTTCGACAATATACTTTTCCAACCCGACAGATACCGCGACTATCCCATACAGATCCGCGAGCCGAGGTCCTCATCAATAACGAGGTATGTTTGCAGATTTATCCTGCATCTTATTAGAGTGCGACAGATGGGGTAACGTTAGTGGAGTTTCGTTCGGATGGGTGCAAGGTGCACAAAAATGAAATGATGATTTAACCAAACTCAAACAGCAGGCTATTAAACGCCTTTTGTCTAATAAAGAATCCTAGATCGTGCTGGGTTTATTGCTGAAACTCCTTAATGTGTTTGATCGGAGATCCTTTAAGTACGTCAGATCCCGATAAGCAGACAAATCTGATCAATTATAAGATGGTTAAAAAATAAGTTTATTCCTTAGTTACAACATAGATCGTTTTGTAACTGTCATGTTAAGTTATGTTTTAAATGTAGAAAATTAGTAAACGGGTCGGTATGTATAATTTCTGCATAAAGTGAAAAGTTTACGGTACATTATCTCCGTAAGAAAGCGTAACGTTAAATGTAAATAGTGCATTTTCTAAAACAGTTTGCTAGCGTTTTAACTAGATGTTATAATATTATTTATAGCATTTATTTCTATGATTTAATGATAGATCAGAAGTATAAACATTTACAGTGTTTTTACACGGCCTAGGGAGGGGTTCCTGAACCAAACAGAAAGGAAAAGTATTAAAGAAAAAAAGTAGAAAAAATATCTCATATAAATGAAAGTATAATCAAAGTCTTAATCTGTACACAAAAACTACTGTGGTAGTGGGTTATAATGAGATCAGTCAAAGCACGTTGTTCATGTTGTGTTGACTGCTGTCTCGTGTAAACAGTGATAGTGAACAATTTTAGCTGTTTACGAGACCGTACGTTTGAATTCTTTTAGAATTAATTAATAAAGTATAATTTTATTTTTAAGAATGTAATATACATATGACATTTTTATAATTTATAATATGTATTTATTATTTAAATTTATTTATTTATTTATTTATTATATAAATATGAGATCAGGAACACTTCTGAATCATAGTCCAATACTAAGTTATTTAATAATTATAATTTATAAAGCTCTGTGGCGCAGCATGGTGGTTTGTTCCTGTAAGTGTAGCTGCAGCGGAGCGCGAGAGCGTGGACTGTTCAATGCGCGTGCTGGAACAGTCTACGTTCTTCTGGTCACGTAGCACTTGTCACTTTTGTTTTTTTCATGCTGCAGCATCAGGATAATTCTGTGTCAAATAAACTGCGAGCCTTGGCGGGGTCGCTGCGGCTGTATTTTTGCAGTTCGGTTTAAACTAGTATTTAAGCTGTAGTCTAAATATTTGCGTTTGAATGCAACCATGAGTGTGGTAGTGTGTTTTGTGCTACAGGAAACACACAGCAAAGTTAAAGGTGATTGTGCTTACAGAATGATGAAGAGAAACTACTTGAATGACTCACCCAAAATAGCACTTCATTAATCTGTTGTTGTTAAAACAATTATGTGTGACTATGATTAATCTTCTAAATAGTAAATTTTTTGATGCTTTTTTTTCTTTTGTAGGAGCCTGTTGTATTAACAGACACCAGTTTAGTATATCCAGCTCTAAAATGGGACTTACCCTACTTGCAAGAGAACATTGGAAATGGGGACTTCTCTGTTTACTTTACGGTACATTATCTCCGTAAGAGAGCGTAACGTTAAATGTAAATAGTGCATTTTCTAAAACAGTTTGCTAGCGTTTTAACTAGATGTTATAATATTATTTATAGCATTTATTTCTATGATTTAATGATAGATCAGAAGTATAAACATTTACAGTGTTTTTACACGGCCTAGGGAGGGGTTCCTGAACCAAACAGAAAGGAAAAGTATTAAAGAAAAAAAGTAGAAAAAATATCTCATATAAATGAAAGTATAATCAAAGTCTTAATCTGTACACAAAAACTACTGTGGTAGTGGGTTATAATGAGATCAGTCAAAGCACGTTGTTCATGTTGTGTTGACTGCTGTCTCGTGTAAACAGTGATAGTGAACAATTTTAGCTGTTTACGAGACCGTACGTTTGAATTCTTTTAGAATTAATTAATAAAGTATAATTTTATTTTTAAGAATGTAATATACATATGACATTTTTATAATTTATAATATGTATTTATTATTTAAATTTATTTATTTATTTATTTATTATATAAATATGAGATCAGGAACACTTCTGAATCATAGTCCAATACTAAGTTATTTAATAATTATAATTTATAAAGCTCTGTGGCGCAGCATGGTGGTTTGTTCCTGTAAGTGTAGCTGCAGCGGAGCGCGAGAGCGTGGACTGTTCAATGCGCGTGCTGGAACAGTCTACGTTCTTCTGGTCACGTAGCACTTGTCACTTTTGTTTTTTTCATGCTGCAGCATCAGGATAATTCTGTGTCAAATAAACTGCGAGCCTTGGCGGGGTCGCTGCGGCTGTATTTTTGCAGTTCGGTTTAAACTAGTATTTAAGCTGTAGTCTAAATATTTGCGTTTGAATGCAACCATGAGTGTGGTAGTGTGTTTTGTGCTACAGGAAACACACAGCAAAGTTAAAGGTGATTGTGCTTACAGAATGATGAAGAGAAACTACTTGAATGACTCACCCAAAATAGCACTTCATTAATCTGTTGTTGTTAAAACAATTATGTGTGACTATGATTAATCTTCTAAATAGTAAATTTTTTGATGCTTTTTTTTCTTTTGTAGGAGCCTGTTGTATTAACAGACACCAGTTTAGTATATCCAGCTCTAAAATGGGACTTACCCTACTTGCAAGAGAACATTGGAAATGGGGACTTCTCTGTTTACATAGCAGAAAATCACAAATTCTTGTATTATGACGAGAAGAAGATGGCAAACTTTCAGGACTTTGTGCCCAAATCTTGTCGAATAGAGATGAAATTTTCTGAGTTTGTGGACAAGATGCATCAAACAGAGAAACAAGGTGGAAAAGAAAGGTGATTTTTGTTTTTTGTTTTTTTTGTAAAAAAAAAAAAAAAAGGCACATTGATTTGTAACTGTTTGCCATAAAAGACGGTTGCTCTGTCTTTTTTATTTTCACAGTTAAAACATCCTTTCTGAATCAAAAGTGTACATTTGTTTACAGTGTATGTTTAAAATTTACCTTGACTATAAAGTTTTGAGCTGTTTATTTTGACATGAACAGTACATGTGCAATAGGGGTTATGTGCAACAGACTTCCGTATTCTGTTAACCGGTTCTCGTCGCTTCCGGTTCAAGCGTTTTGCATATGCTTAGTTAAATATGAAGCAGTTTTACTCAAGATGCCTTCAAAGTAGATACCAATGATGATCATAACCAATGTCCATCACATATGCGGACTGATATCTAAAAGTTTTTTTTATTTTTATTCTTTTCACATTTAGATATAAAAATTGAATAAAACGTCAACAATAAAAACAGCTAGCTAGTTTAACTGATTATCTTAAAAGTCCATAGATATCGCTATTATTTAATACGGCTGTTAACACGTTCTCCGACAAGCGGAAGCAATGAGACCTGTTTTCCGGGTTTGGTCAGGTGATATTCGACATATACCCTATTGAAAATTGTTGAGATGCGTGAAATGCAATCCAGGAAATAAAACCGCTCCGGTGTACGACTAATCAATTAATTCTGCCAGCTTGTGTCCAGGTCACATCTCTGACCTTTTGATACTCTGCTTTGGTGGCATTATTGCTATATCATTTACAATCATCTTTTTTTCTGGTTCCAGACCTTCAATTGTTTACCTTTATTAATAAATATTAAGCAAATTCAGATAGATATTTACTTAATAATATTCAAAAATTCTGAGAGGTAGAATTGCATTTTGAAGTTACTTGATTTCATTTTTGACATTTTACCTTGTGAAATGACATTGCTGTTTAATTTGTAGAGTGTACTTGCAACAAACTCTGAATGATACAGTTGGCCAAAAAATAGTGGTGGATTTCCTTGGATTCAATTGGAACTGGATTAACAAACAGCAAGCTAAACGAAACTGGGGACCACTGACCTCAAATTTGCTGCTCATAGGCATGGAAGGTACAGTTTCAGTGCAACTTATTCTCTATCTAATTTATTGGCATTATTAGTTAAAATATAATGATTGGTGTTTCCCTCTTGAAAATTGTCAAACATATTCTTTTGGACTGTCCCGGTTTTAATGCAAGTGGAAAGCTCTTTTATGAAGTTAGTTCACTTAAGGACTTATTCAGTAAGATTTTGCCTGAAAAGGTTTTAGAATTTTTATCATATGTTAAAGGGGTCATATGATGTTGCTAAAAAGAACATTATGTTGTGTATTTGGTGTAATGCAATGAGTTTATTCTGGTTAAGGTAAAAAAAAAAACATTATTTTCCACATAATGTACATTATTGTTGCTCCTCTATGCCCCGCCTTTCTGAAACGCGTCGATTTTTACAAAGCTCATCGGTCTGAAAAGCGAGGTGTGCTCTGATTGGCCAGCTATCCAGTGCGTT